CGTTCAGTGCCTCATCATCTTGCTGAGACATTTCTATTGATGTTCCATCGTTCAGTGCTTCATCATCTTGCTGAGACATTTCTATTGGTGTTTCATCAGTTCTTGGAGCTGGGTTTTTCACCAATGCCTTCAGTGCAGCTTGGACTTCTTTATTTGGTACCACATATTCTTGATCATATGCTACCTCTCGAAGTGGTTGAATGTCAACAAATTATTCTTGGTACAGTGACTGTATGTCCTCCCATCCTCTTTTGATGCTTTCTTCATTGTCCAATATTTTGCCCATAGAAACCTTCAACGTTGCTTGATTTTTTTCTCCAGTTCTTTCAGCGTCAGATATGCTGAGTGTGTCCTTTCCTTTTGGTATCTAACTCCAGTCAATGAATAACTTACATATTTCATTCTAATCCTTTCCTCTGTCTTTTCAAGCTGTCTTTTGACCTTTTCTGTTCAGCTCTTTGACGTCGTCATTTCTTCCATTTGCTTTAGTTACTGGACATTCAAGAGCAAGTTTCAGTGTGTCTTCTGACTTCCATTTCGTCTTTTCTCTCTTTCCTGCCTTTTTCAAGACTTCCTACTTTCCTCTTGATGCCGTCCCACAACTCATCCGGTCTTCAATCACTGGGGCTCAATAGGCCTTGTTCTTGAGATGGATTCTAAATTCAGGTGGGATATACTTAAGGGCGTTTTTTGACACGTGTAGACTTGTTTTAATTTCTTCAGCTCCAACCTGAACTTAAATATAAGCAATTGGTGGTCTCTAACATAGTCAACCCCAGGCCTCATCTGTTCCCATATCTATAGTCAATTTAATTCCTGTGTATTCCATTTGATGAGGTCCATGTGTACAATCATTATTTATCTTGTTAAAAAAGGTAATTACAATGAAAAGGTCATTGCTCTTGAAAAATTCTACCATGCTATCTTCAGCTTCGCTTCTATCATTAAGACTATGTTTTCCAACTACCTTTCTGTTTCCAGTTTTCTCATTCCAATCATTAGTAATTATCCATACATGATGATGGCATGTTTGATCAATTTCAGACTGAATAACTTAATAGCAATCTTCAATTTTTCATTACCAGCATTAGTGAATAGCGTATAAATGTGAATAATAGTTGTATTAATTGGTCTTCCATGGAGTTTATACATACTCTTATCACACCTGGTATCATGATATTATCCTATAAATTCCATTAATTACTACTCATGGCCTCATTTTAGAGATCCGCAAACAGAGGCCCCACACATGCCAGTGGTTGCACAGCTGGAGGAGGAGGTGAATGCAAGCAGTTCAAGAGGAAGATTTAAGCAGAGACCCGGGATACTACTGCAGGAAGTATCTGCAGTACAGGGCTGGGACCACCAAGGTATGAAAAGTCACACACGGAAGATACTAGTGCTCCAAGAGCCCTTCAACTTTTCTTTCTTAGTCCCAACCCCATCAATCATTAGCTAGCAGCGTGACCTTGGAAGGGCTCCTTAACCTCTCAGAAGCTTGGTGCCTTCAATAGTAAAACACAGGTAATGCCACCTCATGGAAGTCATTGTAAGGAACATTAGAGAGAGCGAGGTGAAGTACTCACGATGTGCCAGCAGACGATGTGCCAGCAGACGGCAGGTGCTGGCAATACCAGGGAAAGACAAGCAGGAACCGAGTGAAGGGGGAAGAAGCCAAGGAAGGGGCTGAAGAGGAGAGAGAACTCAGAGAAGGGGGGAGGAGAAGGAACTGAGAAGGAAGAAGCCTTATGAAGGGATCCCCCAGCACTTGGTGCACTACTTCACATTACAAAACACTGTACTGGTAGACCAGTATTTCCCAGTGTGGGTGGTGCTGCCCTCTAGAGGGCATTGAAATGGTCTGGGGGGGTGGGTGGGAGGTGCAATTGCAAAAGCAGATACCCTTGATTAGAGATTACGGTAGAAACATTTTTAACTGTCAGAATTGGACTGAGTAAAATTTTTTTTCCTGAAAAGAGTTAGTAGGTCAAATAAGTTTGGGAACTTATGAGGTACACATGTATTTTTTAATTTTAAAGAAATCTTATGCATAAAAACTAAATGAAAGGCCCACTTATCCAATGCGTGGTAAGTGCTTCATACGTGATCACCTTTTCTAATCAATGGATATCATAAGGGATCAGCGTGGGAAAGCAGAGTCAGGAGAAGGGGCTTCAGGAGGGGCTAGCTGTGCTGGAAGTTGGTGGTCCTGACGCTCCAGGTACTACTCCAAAGACAATGAAAGGGCCCTACCCATGTGATGGGGAGTCTAAGGTGGTCTCAACCGACTCAAATGGTGACATTCCCCATGTGACAACACAAGGCCAGGTGTGTGACCCTGAGCCCGTTCTGGACTTCTCTGCTCTGTTTCTGCAAGTATCGGTTGTGGGAAGGACTTCCTGCTCCCAGGAGGGCCATGTGGTGAGCGGAGACAGTGTCAGTGGTGGAGGTGAGGGCCACACTCATCACAAGCACCCGAGACCATCATCATTCTCCTTCTTGGATTTTGTGGTTAATTCTTTATGCTCCTCCTCCCCTGGAGGGGCAAAAGGAGGTGGGGCATACACTGATGACATAAGAAGCTAAGGTCTTTATGTGACTTGGGACCAACTCCCGTGGGACCCCAGACAAGTCCCACCCTTTCCACCAGCCCATCCTCTCTCAACACTGCCCAAAGGGAAGGGGAAGACCAGCTTTCAGTCTAAAACTCTGTTCTCCGTGAACCCAACAGAACTCGGGTAACCCTTGCAATGACTCCCACGTTACCAATGAGAAATCTAAGTTGTTAGAGTCCAGGACTTGACTGCACCATCTCGACCATTCCCATCTCTGAGCCCACTGCCCGCCTGACCCTCCCCCAGACGGATGCCCTACCTTGTAGGTGAGGCTGGGGTCTCTTGGAGCACTCTCCTCCTCCTCCTCCTCCTCTGAGCTTCCCTTCTCTTCATCCGATGCGAGGTCCTCTTTGGGGGCTGCTGCTGAGATGGGGCAGACCTTGTAGGGCTCTGTGTAGGCGCTGGGGTCAGACAGGAGAGAGAAAGGGTTAGTGTTCCTTGTCCACCCAAAACAAAAGCAAACGGGCCAGCTCTGGAGTGACAGCTGGAGCCATTGAGGAGTGTCTGAGCGCAAGGCTCTGGGCCCTCCTCACAGACTCCGAAATGAGTAAGATGCAGGAACAAACCATGGTCTAGGGGGTGGACAGGCCTGTCTCCCTGTTCAATCCAAGGCGAGCTAGGCTGCGCTGCTGAAGCCCAAACAAACCCACAGCCATTAAGTCCATCGGACTCCTGGAGACCCCACGGCTTACCCAGAGTAGAACTTGGCTCCATAGGGTGTTCCTAGCTGAGAGCTTTATGGAAGCAAGCTGTGAAGCCTTTTGTCCGTGCCACTGACGAGTGTTCAAATCACTAACCTGAAGGTTAGTAGCTGAGTGCAAACTGTTTGTGCTACCCATGGACCGAAAGCAATGCTGAAGGAGGTTCAAATGGTTTACCATTGAGAGGAAGAGATGTGTGACTGGCCTACGTATTCGAATGGGTATGGTCAGGCAGTAGGTAGCCGTGGTCTCTAGCACAGATATGGAAACTCCAGCCTTGCCGTCAGGAACACACATAGCTCTTAGTGGTTCAGTTTCTATTTGGACTGGCAGGGATTACTGATGATGCCTGTCCTGCCTTCTTGGTAGGTGCTGTGAGGATCAAGGATTAGGAAGATTACACAAATGTGAAACTATTCTCATATTTGTGAACTCGGAACAATGATAAAGACATTGTCATTAATTAATTAATGTCATTAATTAACAAATCAACACACACATTCAATACATCTTTACTGGCTGCCTGGTTAATGCCAGGCGTGGGACTAGGTATGGAGTAGCACCAGTGAACATAGCAGCTATGGTCCCTGTCTTCACGACATGAACTAATAAGTGATCACCAGTCATGATAAGTGAGAGATTAAGTGATTTTCCAGAGAGTAATAAGGGAAGAAACCTGAGGTGGGACTGGGAGGAAGAGAAGGAGTCACCTTGTGGTATCACCGGTCAGTGACCCAGGCAGATAAAGTAGTGAGTTAGAAAGCACAGGTGGCCAAAGGCTGGCACATTCAAGGAGCCAAAGAGGCCAGTGGGTGGGCAGGAAGGACAGGTGCACAGGTCTGAGGCAGGAGAGCAAGACCTCAGGACACAAATCAACCTACAGAGGACTCTTTTTTCTCTGAGGAGGCTGGAGCTCCCTGGCTGTTGTTCTACAAGAGAGATCAGGCCAGGCACCTTCCCTGCTTGAGAACGCCTTCAACGGTTTCCTCCTGCCATTGGCAATGTGAGCTCAAATAGCGATTCAGAAATCGCCTCTTTGTATTCAATGTCCAGGCACCTAGTCTTATTAAATACTGGTAAGTAATATTAAATTGATGTCAAGTACTTACTCCTGGCCACTGGGAGTAGCAGATTGAAATGCTGGAAATGTCAGATGGATTGGGAAAGGCGGGTAGCATCCTAGCTGGGCTGACTCTCAAATAGCCTCACACTGACAGGACACATCCGGTCTGGTCCAGACACGAGGAAGTGCAGCGGGGGGATGGGGCAGCAGGGAAGGAGAATCTGAACCTCAGGCTACAGGTGAACGGGGGCCCCAATATTCTCAACAACTGAAAAAGCCAGTCCTGTGCTTATTTATCTCCAGAAGCTGGAGCCCACGCAACAACAAAAAAACTCTTGAATGAGCACTACAGATGTCCCCTGGTTCGTGGCAGGGCCTGTTCCTGCCTGAGCTTCCTAGAGACACAGGCTGAATCCCTGATCCCGGACATCCATCGGGCCGAACCCTGACCCCAACCGACGATCCAACAGCTCCCATTTGGTCAGGCCTCTAACGTCTTCCTTCTTGGTCTTTTCTTTCAAACCATGAGAACATATATTTTCCAACAAGCCATGAAGCACTGAGGTGTACCGAGATCTTCCCCAATGCCCAGGAACATCCTCTACCTCCTTTCTGCCCTTTCTCTCACCAGCAGGGCTGCCTGATTTCTCTACTACGGATCTGTCCCCAACGGGAGGTCAGAAACACCTCACTTGTTTTAGCAAGGGTCAGAACCAGGTTCAGGAAAGTGGCTGTATGGACAAGGGCCTCAGCCACCAGCTTCCAGCCACCTGCGTGCAGTTTGCAATGACTTGGAAAGCAGATGGAAGGACGCTCCACGAGAAAGGGCCACAGCAGGAAGCCACATGCTCTGGTAGGCTGACCTTCCAGAGAGATGGAGCTGCCCCTGCTCTCCCGGTCCATTCCTCCTCCGTGTCAAAGGACAGCATGACAGTGTAGACCTTCCTAGCACGTGCTACAGAGCAGGAAATGAGTCCCGGCCATCTTCAATGAATAACAGCTTTCCTCACCCTCATCCTCTTTGGCCCCTGTCCCTTCCTGTCTTTGTGGGTGCTTCCCAAACCTGAGCCATTCCCTCACCCTCACCAGCTCTGTTCTAAGCGTAAACACTGGGCCTACTATTTACCTCATGCTCTACGTCCATTCATTTTTAACGGATGTTTCCTATCCTGGTTCAACCCAGTGATAACATCTGTGAAGTCCCAGTGAGTACTTTTAGGACACTTAAACTGTAATAACATGTCTGACCATATTATCACCTAAAATAATCTTGCTTACAGAGAGACAGCTGGCCCCACCAGCCATCTGTCCTTAGACTCCTTCCGCTTGGATCAGAAACATGTCCCACCTGGCCTTCCTATTCCAAAGAAGACAGGAGACAAGGGTTAGGAGGCTTTGTTGAGATTTCTGGATTACTGGACTATTTAGAGAAGCCCTGGTTGGAAGAAGAAAAAAAGTCGCAGTGCCATGAAACAAACAAACAAAAACCATAATATAAAAGAACAAGTCTAATTCAATGTCTTTTCAGATTCTATGAAAGTTTACATTGGTAGACCCTATCCTGAACAGAAAGGCATCTTCTGTAAAGATTTCGTCTCAGACAACAGGCGGAGCGGCTCTACGTTGTCCTATAGGGCCACTACGAGTCAGAACTGAGATGATGGCAGTGGGTTGCTGGGTTCTCGTGGATAAAAGTTACAAGTTACATAAGCTAAATAAAGTGTCTTCTTCTGAGACCACAGATAACACAGCTGCCCCGGTTGCTGTTGTTGTTAGGTGCCATCAAGTCAGTTCGGGCCCACAACAACCCTGTGCACAACAGAACGAAACACTGGCCCTGTCCTGTGCCAGCCTCACCATTGTTCCTATGCTTGAGCCAGCCCATTGTTACAGCCAGTGCCAATCCATCTCATTAAGGGCCTTCCTCTTTTTCACTGCCCCTTCACTTTACCAAGCATGCTGTCCTTCTCTAGGGACTGGTCTCTCCCGATACTATGTCCAAAGTATGTAAGATGAAATCTTGCCATTCTTGCCTCTAAAGAGCATTCTGGCTGTACTTGTCCCTAGAGATATTTGTTTGTTCTTTTGATAGTCCATAGTACTTCCAATATTTTTTGCCATTACCATCTTCCTTATTCAGTGTCTAATTTTCACATGCATATGAGGCAATTGAAAATGTCATGGCTTGGATCAGGCACACCTTAATTCTCAAAGTAATATCCTTGCTTTTCAACACTTTAAGTAGGTCTTATGCATATTTGCCTAATATAATGCCTCTCTTGATTGCTGCTTCTATGAGCATTGATGGTGGATCCAAGCAATACAAAATCCTTGACAACTTCAACCCTTTTCCCATTTATCATGATGTTACCTATTGGTCCAGTTGTGAGGATTTTGGTCTTCTTTACCTTGAGTCATAACACATACTGAAGGCTGTTGTCCTTGATCTTCATCAGCAAGTACTTCAAGTCCTCCTCATTTTCAGTAAGCAAGGTTGTGACATCTGCATATCGCCGGTTGTTAATAAGCCTTCCTCAAATCCCAAAGCCACATTCTTCTTCATATAATCCAGCCCCTCTGACGATTTGCTCGGCATACAGATTTAATAAGTATGGTGAGAGGATACAACTCTGATGCACACCTTTGCTGATTTTAAACAATGCAATATTCTCTTGTTCTGTTTGCACCACTGCCTCCTGACCCAAGTACAAGTTCCACATGAGCACAATGAAGTGTTCTGGAATTCCCATTCTTCTCAAGGTTACCCCCAGTTTGCTATTTTGTTAGTCTGGGTAGACTAGAAAAACAAAATTCATAGACCCTCATATGTATATAAGAAAGAGTTTCATGTACAAGTGCAACTGAACATTGAGAAAACATTCTAGCCAAGTCCAGATCAAGTCCGTAAGTCCAATATTAGCCCATATGTCTGATACCAGTCTATAAAGTCCTCTTCAGAATCATGAAACACATGCAATGATGCCAAATGCAGGAAGATAACAGGCCAATGGATGGGAAGTCTTGTGGATCCAGTGGTGTTGTAAGCATCTCAGTGCTGGCAGGGGTCTCCATGTGGCTTTTCCAGCTCCCAAGGCTCTGGATGCATCAAGGTAGCTTCATGTGGCTTCTCGTCAGAAATGTCTCACAGGGAGTGAGCTGAGAGAGAGTGTCTCCCGCCTCAAAGGAGGAATACCAGAGCTCCCAGAATCCTCAGGAGAAGGCCATGCCTACACAGAGCACTCATTGGCTATGGCCTGATTGACAGGCTAGACTCCACCCCTTCACTCTTAATCCTCCCAAATTGACAATCAATTATATAACTACCACAGTTATGATCTACACAGTCGAATAGCATAGTCAGTAAAACACAAGTCAACTTCTTTCTGGTATTATTCTGCTTTCTGGCAAGATCCATCTGACATCAGTAATGACATCCCTTGTTCCCCATCCTCTTCTGAATCCAGCTCCCTGTCTTCTGAATGGCAGCTCCCTGTCAATGTATTGCTGCAACTGTTGTTGGATGGTCTCCAACAAAATTTTACTTGCGTGTGATATCAATGATACTGCTCTGTAGTTTGAACATTCTGTTGGGTCACCTTTCTTTGGAATTGGGCACAAATACAGATCTCTTCCAGTC